TGAAAAAAAAAGTAAATTTTAGACAGAAGTTAAAAACTGGTCCTTATTTATAAGAGTAAAATTAATGGTACTAATTACAATAGTTTTGATAGTTCCAATAGACAGTATGGTAAAAATCTTTATTGATAGTCAAGTTTGCATCTTCAAATGGAAAAAACTTGAAAAAGATGATCCCAAAATAATACACTAAAGATGGTTAAAAGAAAAGAACTGATTATTATTTATAAGAATACTAGATCTTATAAAGAAAAGGTATATTCAACTGACTTTAACTAAAGTCAAAATTTACTTTAATAATTTATGGAATAAAGAAACATCAATTAATCAAAAAAGCATTAAAGCTTCTAGCAATCAAATGGAATAGCTTTAAATCAAGCAAGATACCTATAATAATATTGTGACAAAAGGATACAATAGATAGTTTAATTTGATAGTTTATTAAACAAATCAGTAAGAGATCAATTATCTTATTATAGATATAGTAATATAAAATAGAGACAAAATAGTACCACCAAGTTTAAAAACATCAAACCTATTTATAAAACCTGATATGGGATAGGTTAAAGGATGACAGTATATGAGATACCTTCTTTAAAGATTCATAAAAAAGAAGTTTCCTGATCAAATTGATTAACAATAAACTATCTATCTTAAACAAACTAGTAATAAAAAACCTGACTTATATAAACAAGTGAGCTATATAGTATACAATTAGTAAAAGGAGATAATCAAACATCTATTAGAATGCTTTGATCACAAAAATAAGATTTTAGCTGTATAAAAAAAAGGATCTGAAATATTTTTTAAAGAATTTGATAAGTTGTATCAAGATAGGAAAAGAGAAACAAACAAAAAGAAAATACAACTATTATTCAACAATAGAAAAGAGAAAAGTGAGGTAGACAGATGGGCCTTTAAACTCATAAAAGTAACTTCACAAACTAGTTCAAACATACTCAGCTTTTGTATAGGATTAATAAAAAATGATATAATCAAAGAAGTTGCTAACCTAAATTACCATGGTAAAAATATAGAAACAATGATAAAAAATGAATTCTAAGAGTATAAAAGAAGATTTGTAATTAGATCTTAAACAAGTCTGAAATATAAGATGTGAAAAGATTATAGAATAAAAACAAGTACAAAGAATTAATAGAAAAGTAAATACAAAAAAGTTCAGGAAGTAAGAAGACAAGATGCTTTGCAAGAAGATTCTAACCATGAAATCATGAGGCAAAAAGAAAATAAAAGAGAAAGTGAGAACAAAAATCTTGTAGAAATTATAAGAACTGGAATTAAGTATATGACAAAATAATTGGGTTTTGATTCTTGTTAAAACCTCAAAAAGTGATCTGCAGGAGATAAAGTTAAAAGTTGAAAGGGTTTTTACTTGAATTACTAATAGAGTGATAAATCACTTCCAAAGTTGCACTTAGAGTTTTGAATAAAAACTTTAATAAGTAAGTTGATCAAAGATTTGGCTTTAATGTCACATATAATATATAGTCTACAACTGTTTAATAAAGCATACATAACTGGCCTGACAGAGGGTTAAAAAAAAAAAAAAAAAAAGTATTATTATAAAATGAAATATATTAAATTTGAAGACTTTTATATTTATAAGTTTATTAGACTTGATTAATGGTACTTATGGTTGTTATAAGCGATTTTTGTATTTTTATCGTTATACATACAGTATATAATGTAAATCATACGTCACGAATGTCACTGTTGACCTGTCATACACTACACTTAACCGTACTAGCAATGTCCTTTCGTAGTATCGATGTTGATGCCTTGGACGAAGAACAATTAGTTCAGGATGAGCTATTCGGCTTTTCTGAAGGAGCAATAATTGAACCTGAGGTGGCTTTAGTTAACGTTAAGACTAAAAGTGTTGAGGTTAGAAACTTACTGACGAGGTGAGTCTAGCAAGCCTTGATTTGAAATCACATTTTTTTCATTCACCCTTTTTATTTGCAATCGGTATAGGGGTAAAGCCGAAGATGCATTGGCAACAGCTATGGACAATCCACCTTATGGTCTAAACACGACGGAAGCTAAGGTAATTTTTTGAAAATCCACTAGCAAAAATAATTTATCTCATAAATTGAAACTTCCAATTTTTAAAATTTTTAATCAAAAAAAAAAATTTTTTTTTTTCGAATGTACAGGATCTAAATACAAAAATGGTCATGGAGGTTCTCAATTCTATTAAAGCCGCGGATGTTCCATCTCTAGTTAAAAACTTATCAACCGAACAGCAAGATGTTTTGATGAAATATATTTATCGCGGAATGGCGTCACCCGAATTATACAACTCTGCCGTGTTGTTGAATTGGCATGAGAAGGTAATTCCTTGAATTTGCTTGATAGAATTTAAGCTGCAGTATTAGTGATTATCTTTTTTAGCTTACGGAAGTTGCAGGGGTTGGCTGCATCGTTCGCGTGATCACCGATCGGAAAACTGTATGATGATGAAAACGGTGATCTTGCATTAAGAGTTGAATTGCGCTGCCTAGACCGCGTCGGGTGTGAAGTTTCTTCGACTTATGGAGGCAATCTCCCTTGCATATTATAGTAAGGTTAACGTATGCTTTTTAGGCCCATAGAAACATCTGGAGAAATATTTATTTTTGAACATCAAACAATCTACAATAATACGATAATTTGAAAAGGACAATATGTCAAATTCATCAAGGCTTAATAAAAGAATCTAATTAATTAATTACCTTATCAGAAACGAAAATAATTACTTAGCTAATGAAAGTTGATATTCAATAAAAAGTTCTTAACTACAGTTCTAATATATTATCCAGCGTTATTGATGAAAAAGTCGGTGAGATCATTTTTAACATCCGTGTTAGCGACCGAATCAACACCTTTCGATTCCTCGAACGCCTTAAAGTCACCAAAGTCGTTGGGCGACGGTGACCTCCTAGCTGCTCTACTGCCGGAGGACAATGATGAGTTATGTTTGTGTTTGAAAAATGACGCCGGCGGTGGTGGTGGTAAGAGGGGAATCACTGTCATGTTTTTTATTGGTTCAGATGATATTAGAGTCAGGTGAATAGACAAGGTGAATTGAAACAAAAGATTCTTTAATATTTATACCTCCAGTGGATTCGAGGCTTCCAAAATGATTAATTGATTGTGGTCTTGCCTTTCTTTGCTATTGTGTTCAAATATGATTTTCCTCTTCACATCCCGTAATCACAATAACGAAGAATAACTTACATGTCCGATGTTAATACTAATAGTTTCCCCTTCTTTTAAACTATAATCTTTCTTTGGTTCCGACGCAGCAATTTTAGCATGTTCAATTGATTCCCTCTCCGCTTTAACATGTCTAAATAATTAATTCAGTAAGCACTCATATACAAATATAATGTAATCAACCAGCAAAATAAATACTCGCTTGACGTGATCCTGTAGAGCTACTTGAAAATCAAATGCTTCCGAACGTTCTTGGAACCCGACGCCTATTAAGGCATGCCGACCTAAGCATAAAAAGATGAATCAATAAATCTTAAATTATGAAAGAATTCGAGAAAGTACCACACAAAGCTATTAACTTTTTCTGATTACGAATAAGAAATTGGCTTGCCATTGTCTTCAATGCGTAATACAAAATATCTTGAAGAATCTTGTACCGGTTCCACGGAGTTAGTCTCAGGATCATATGGACATTGTGCAAACAATTCACCTAATTTCATTAATGTGAATCGGGGCGTTTATACTTGCGCAAAGTGTTTACACATGAAATAAAATCTTGTACCAGTAATTCCGTCTTCCAATTT